TGTTGCAAGAAGCGCCAAGCGTCAAAGCTTGCCGAGAATGGGAGCAGTCCTTCTACTGCCACTCCGAGCCCAAAGCATGTGTGATGAACTGCGGCCAATGTGCCGCGCGCCAGCACGCTCCTGGCTTGGCGCCAATTTGCAGCATTCCGAACCCTGCGAGCCCTCCGGGCCCTGCGGGCCCTGCGTCTCAGCCCGACTCCTCGGTGGCCACAGCCTTGGCATATTGGGAACCCTTCGAGACTGAAGCCTCCGAGTCTGTGTTCAACAGCCCTGGCTTCGACATCTGCCGCGACCGGCCGAACTACTGGGAAGTGCTGAATGAAAGCACCTCTCCTGGGTTTCCTGAAAGACAATTGAGCGCTCTGAGTGCTGTGCCTGCAAGCCTTCTGGTTGATTTTCGAATCGTGCCGGGCCCATACAACTGCCTTGCGAACCAGGCCGACACAGCGCAGTTAGCTGCGACATGCTCCACTGCGCCAGAACCACCAGCTGCCGGCCCCTGGTCCAGGGATTGATGACTTGGACTGTAGCACTCCCAGTACTTCTTACTCCTACTTGGCAAAATTCTACTACCGTGACCTTTCCGCGGATGGACTTGTTCCGTGCTAAACGTCAGCAACATCAGTAGGGCTGCCAATGCGAAGCAATACGCAACGAGCTGCCATACCTTGAAGCTTTCATCTAGTGGGGTCCAGCGCCCAGGCTATAGCCAAAACTCCATCCGCCAATTCTTGTCCGCGCTTGGCAATGGATCAGTGGTCGTCACTGGTGAAATTTGGCTTGATGTGCCTGCACCGTCAGACTTCGTCCTAACCGAGGAGTCGAGGCAATCATTCCACAAGCTCTTTCTCAATCCTGTGTGACCCTATGTAGCCTAGCAGGTGCTTGTCGGGGGTCTCATACTGTGTTCAAGTGGAGCGGGATGAAGAATTGATTGACGGCTGTTCTTTCCATGCGTTTGTGGATTGCTTCACATCGCTCCTCATTAAGGCCTTTTGATCTATCAGACATGTGGACTGGGATTTTTGTTAAGGCCGGCATTGATAAAATCTCTCCCCCGCCAGCTGGCTGGCACTGATTTGATGTGATCCCGTGTATGCCTTTGCTTGTGCAAGGTGGTTGAGTAATCTGTGCAGCGCCAACGCACTGCGTTGTGGCTCACTTGATTTGAAGGTCCAAATGCTGGGACTGGGAGAGAGCCATCTTGTAGCGGGGGGAGGGGCGTGTATCGAAGCGTTCCTGTTCTCCCGAAGCCAAGTGGTGCTATTCTTTGGCGCTATCTTTCAAGCCTCTTCCTCAACGGAAAGACTGCAGGAGGTTTCAGAATCAAGAGGCATGACGGGCAGTGAGTGCCGGGATCATGTAGCATTTGAGTTTAAGAGTCAGAGGGAGTTGAAACTCCTGCGCGATGCCTTCAGGCTGGTTGTAGCCTCTGGCCTTGAAGCTGGTTCGATTCTTCGCGACAGCAAGGCGGTGATGCTGCAGCGCATGTGGGTCAACCCACGTGCCAACGTGCGGGCATTCTTTGCTATTGAGCTGCCGTGTTCTCCTGATGACTGCTTGGCTTGGGGGCAGCAACTACAAGAGAACGTCACTGTGAGTGAAATGTACAGCTCGGGTTGTGTCTTCTTTATCAGTTCGTCCCTTTCCCCTCAGCCTGGAGCCCAGGTCACGCAAGTGATAGAGTCTGGGGCCGTCGCCAGCGCTCTCCAAGAATCTCTGGGTCACCACGCGCTCCCCGTGTCCATCATCGGCTTCTCGGCGCCGGGGCTTCACCTGCGCTCAGATGGTGACCTGCCCACACAACACAGGACTGGCACAGCCACTACTACCTCAACAGCGACAACAACAAGTACCGGCACCACAACTTCTGCTACAACCAGTGCTACAACGACTGCGACAGCAGTGACTACAACTATGACTACAACAATGACTACAACTATGACTACAACCATGACTACAACTTTGACTACAACTTTGACTTCGACAGCAACTGTTACTACGAGATCGGCCACCTCAACCGTCAGCCATGATGCGGGCAGTGAAAGCACGTATGCCTTCGATGTGGAACTTTGGATAGCAGATGCCTCTGCCTTCAACAGCACCGCGTATGTCATCGCCATGGCCAGTGAAGCAGGAGTGAGCCCCGACAAGTTTCAAGTGACGAGCATAGGCTTTGAGACAGTCGTGGGCATTTCTCTCAGTGATGCAGTGACGCTGGAAGAGGTGACGAGTGCACTATCAGCTATCACTGGTGTGAATGCAAGCCAGATTTCCGTGCCTGCTCTGCAGACGGGCCAATCGGGCGCGAGGCGTTTGCAGGCCAGTGCTTTGGAATGCGTCATCAAAGCAGCGAGCGCCGATGATGCAGCATTGATGTCCGAAGTCCTGGCAGAAGCCTCATCTGTCGAGCAAGCTTTCCTGAGCCAAGGGCTGAACTTGACTGCGTCAATCACCGACCCTCCGCGGATTGCGGTGAAGATTTCGCAGCAAGTGACGGCTGAACAAGGCACGGTTACAGTACCATCGAGCGAGAGCTCAAGCAGTCTTCTGCGGGACGTTTTCCAGACAGAAATCGAGATGAATATCTTGGACTTGACGTTCATGGCCTCCAGTTCCAGCACTAGCTTCACAAGCTCTCTCACCACATCCAGCTCAACTGTCACATCAGAACTCGAATCCAGTGTCACTTCAACAAGTAGCGTGACTTCCAGCGTCGGTATGACCACCATCACCACGAGATCGGCAACCTCAACCGTCACCCTTGACGCAGGCAGTGAAAGCATGTATGCCTTCGATGTGGAACTTTGGATAGCAGATGCCTCGGCCTTCAACAGCACCGCGTATGTCATCGCCATGGCCAGTGAAGCAGGAGTGAGCCCCGACAAGTTTCAAGTGACGAGCATAGGCTTTGAGACCGTCGTGGGCATTTCTCTCAGTGATGCAGTGACGCTGGAAGAGGTGACGAGTGCACTATCAGCTATCACTGGTGTGAATGCAAGCCAGATTTCCGTGCCTGCTCTGCAGACAGGCCAATCGGGCGCGAGGCGTTTGCAGGCCAGTGCTTTGGAATGCGTCATCAAAGCAGCGAGCGCCGATGATGCAGCATTGATGTCCGAAGTCCTTTCAGAAGCCTCATCTGTTGAGCAAGCTTTCCTGAGCCAAGGGCTGAACTTGACTGCGTCAATCACCGACCCTCCGCGGATTGCGGTGAAGATTTCGCAGCAAGTGACGGCTGAACAAGGCACGGTTACAGTACCATCGAGCGAGAGCTCAAGCAGTCTTCTGCGGGACGTTTTCCAGACAGAAATCGAGATGAATATCTTGGACGTGACGTTCATGGCCTCCAGTTCCAGCACTAGCTTCACAAGCTCTCTCACCACATCCAGCTCAACTGTCACATCAGACCCGCAGTCTTCTGCGACGGAGAGCCCACAAGACCCACAGCATGTTCTGAGCACTGGAGCGGTGATTGCACTTGTACTTTCAATGTTGGTGATTGCAACTACGGGTTTCTTGTTGTTGCGGCGATTGAGGAGGCGATTCAGAAGCGACTTTGTTCGTCAAACATCGCCTCAGGAACTGTCGATAATTCCAATGCCTGCAGCAGCAGGGGAGCCGGAGGTAGAAGAACATCAGCCTCCTACACCCAGAACGGCATGGACTTAGGCTTTAGCCTGACGAGATCTGCACGCGCAAGTGAATTCCACGTCCAAAGAAGGCATTGCACATGTGTGTTTGCATGCCACTTTGGCAGAGTTTCTGCTAGCTGTTGACAGCCCAGCTTCGTAGACTTAGTTTTGCTTCTTTGTGGTTCATCGACTGCCATCTTAAACTGCAGGTACAAATGACGGCTGGGCCGTCAGCACGCAGCTGCAGCCACCTCAGATGTGTTAAAGTCTTGTCTGAGTGCAACGCTGAGCCGCACCATCCTCGCCTCTGCTAGCTGCTAGCAATTGGGCTCTTGTTGGTCCATACGTTTGCTTTACAGAGCTTGTTGTGCTTGTCGAGCTTTGCAATGTCTGGCCATGCAAGACGAGGACAATAGCGGCCTTTGTTGGCGAGCTTGATTTGTTTGAGCACCCAAAGCATGTCCAAGAGACTCCCGCGCGCTTCTCAGCCCACTGTTTACTTTCCGGCACACCACTCAACTCCACGACGGGATGAAACTCAGGAATGTGGCTGAGCACATACAAGCACCTGGCTACTGGCAGTCGAGCCAAGCAGGCTGCGTGCGCCACCATGATGAATCAGGCCTTTCATAAATCAGGGGCGTTGTTGGCCGAATCGCATGCCTACCGACGCACTGCGCTCTCTCTCTCTCTCTCTCTCTCTCTCTCTCTCCCTCTCTCTCTCTCGCTTTCTCTGAGACTCGCTCCCGCTCTCCCCTTCACCCACTCCTCGCTCACGCACTCCTCAAAAAGCCCCTCGTCGGTCCAAGCCGCTCTTTGGAAGCCTTGGAAAGGTCCCGAGCCTCTCTGCAGCAGGGGCACGCGCCCGGGATCTCACACTAGAAGTGAAGGTAGAAGGGGCCCCTAAACCGTAAACCCTCGAAGATCAGAAGCCCGGATGCAAGACCTTCAACCAGTCTAGGCTACCTGTGTGGCCTTTAGGGTTGAGGCTTCATGGTTTAGGGCTATCCAGAGCCCAGTTGCTGCGACCTTGGAAGCTCGTACTGTTGACATACTGATCGTATTGATATGCAGTGTGCCATTAGTGCTTGGCCTGAGGCTGCAGTTGGGCTTGCGTAGACCATGCTGTGAAAGGTCCTGCCGCGCGACGTGGGACGGAGCTGAAAACAGGCTGAGAGACAGCGTGTGGTGCTTGCCCATCTTCTGAAGTTTGGTTTCGATCGCACCTAGACCTTCAAGCATGTCGTGCTTGCTTTGCCCACTTGGCGCGTGGAGTTGTGTTTGGATTCAAGACAACTTCGAAGCATTGCAAAGATGGCGTGCATGTTCCGTCCCCGCCGTGTGGTCCCATGGCAGACAACTGCAAGTCTTCCTAAGATGATGGCGCGGCTCTACATCATTGTCTTTGCGCAGTTGACTACGGCTATGGCGCAGGCGGACAGCACAGCGCCTAGCGCGAATGCTGAAGAAGACAACACCAACTTGGTTCTTAACCTGATGACATCAAGCCTAGGACAACATGCCTTCCTTGGCGAGCTATATGATTGCAAGGACAGCAATAGTTCGCTAATGGGCAGCACGCTGTGGCCCCTCCATTTGCTTGAAGATCCACAGTATGTGCAAGAGACTCCCGCACGCTCAGCGGTGTACACATTTACAAGCGTAAAGTCACTCAAAGACAAGATGAAGCTCCTCAACGTGGATGGCCATATCATGTTCCAGAAGCAATTCGCCGGGGGCACGAAGCTCAAAGTTACTGGTGCAGGCAAATACTTGGACGAGAGTCCTCGAAGCAATCTTGTGGCCCAAAGCTCAGATGTTCAATTACACAGTATTGTGACAGACTGAGTGATGAAAGCCAGTGCAGTCTGGCTGCCCACTTTTACAGCAGCACAAGCCAGGTTAAACACGATCTGCGACTCTGCTTCCACATGGTTCCAACACTCCAGTCCAAGGAACAACCGTGATTGGTTCTGGTTCTGGTTCTGGTTCT